AAAAAAGCCCTATTTATATTCTTTGAACCATGTTCTAAGATTTTTTTCCTTCTCTTTGATGATAATAAATGGATCTCTTTTATTGCGATCATTTAAATATACCCAAGATTCATCTACTGTGACAACATTTTTTTCGTTTTTGTCCGGATAATTGTTTCTCATACAGAATTCTGCAGCGCGTTCTCCTTTCGGTGACATGTCGTGGAGAAGGACGATGCATATTGATGTTTTTTCGCCTTTTTAAGATCCAAGTCAGCATTAATAATTTTTGTTTATAGTTTACACTGAGCATTTTAATGATAATGCAACTGTCCTTCGACAATTTTCTTTTAACCTTAAAGCTGTAGAGTTCCTCACTCTTTTTTTACTAAAATGGACGTTGAGCAGACTAGTGAACGTTTTAGCAACTTATCGCTGAGTTCAAATAACAGAAGTCGTAGACTCAATAAGGGTTAATTAACCTTTATTTCACTCAAGATAAGATGAAAAGTTGGCCTCTTTTTTTATGTCTTACAACAAAGCCTCCACTTGGGCATGAACTCAAAATAAGAAATAAGAACTAAATTGGAACTAACTAAGCTAACATAAATCTAACGTAGTTGGCCCTTAATTTAAACTAGCCGGCGGATATCAAAAGGCACGTAATAATGCGGCCGAGTCTAACAGTTTCTAGAGAGACTTAGCTAGAAGGCAAACACGCGCTGCTCAGGATTCCTAGCTCAGGATTCCGTGAGAGAGATCTCACGAAGTAACTTGAACCTTCCTTAAATACTACTTCTAACTCATTTGTATTCAATGTGATTCTAAAACCTCATTCTGATAGGGAGTTGTAAGCGAAAACAAGATTTGACAGGAAAGTACATTGAAATTAAAATATAAGCTTACAAAGTTCTTACCTTTGCAACATTCGAAACATTCCGTTTTTTCCTTGGATATGTAATTTGAACATTTGTTCTCTTAGAAACCAAACTTCTGTTAGAAAACAAATTTTTTTTGTCTTGTTGGAAGTATTATCTATCGTTTCTTTAGATACTGAAATATCATGGTTTTCACGTTATTTTTCAATGAATATGAATAATTTTCTTAATATGAATAATTTTCTTCGGAAAGAGCACAAACATAGGCTTCCCTCCATTGCTTCTTTAGAAGCGGCATTTTGCAAGAAAATAAAAGTTTCAAATAGCAGACGATATTTCAAACTTTCAAAAATACAGCTGCAGAAACAAAATTCCAAGCAAGCGAATTTTATAGCAAATCAAAATCGTCTAAAACAGTGTGCGAACAGTCTCTGTGCATATAGTTCAGCTAAATTTACTTGGGTAAAGAATGCATTATTATTTTTCACCCAGAGCGAATGAGTTCTGAAAACTTATTTTAACGTAAAATTAAGTGCATATTAAATTACACAAATATTCATAAATATGATACATGAAAAAAATGGGTAATTTACAGAGGCAGTCCTAATACGCTTAGTAAGTATTAAATTTATTACTTCCGTACTTACATTGCTTAATTCCCTCCTCTTTAAGAAATGCTTGCCCAACTTATTTCCTTTTTAGCTCTTTAATAATTATAAGTCATCGTAATAAGGAAATGTCCGATCTACTTAACGTGATTCTTTTTAAAAAGACAGATTTTGTAAACTTTAAGGTTTAAACCTCTACTTAATATTAAAATTATTGCCCAAGTTTTAAGAACATACGTATGGAAATTTAATTGTAAGATTATAGGAACAATATTGCATTAACATGAGCATTTCATGAATCTGAATGTTTTTTTAAATAACTGTTTAGAGATTGATTTTTACTGCAAGTATGATTCTAGACAGTAGAAGCCTCATTTATCTCTTGTGTAACTCCTTTCTTCAGCATTCCTTCCCTTGCACAGTGAAATGATAAAATGCATCTTTGTCATCAGGTTTTGCTTTCTCAGACATTTTAGGAAGAAGCTGTAAATCAATGATAGCAGATGCCGACTGTGCGTATAATCAATATTAATCTCATATACAAACATGCGTATACATTTTAGAATATTTTTAGCATATAAATGTTCCGAATTCCATGCAATAAATAAAGTGATGCAGATGCGTTATAATACCGTAATGTACCTATAACACCGGTATGTCTCCAAATGTTTTAGTCAAGGTTTCTAAAATGTTAAAAAATATTCATGTGATATTCCTCTTACTAAAGCTGTTTAGAAAAACTGTGTAAAGCTTCTATACGTTCATCACACGAGAAAGACTGAAATCAGTCCGATTTAATGAAAGAAAGGACCCGTTAGCCGAATGTTGTTCTACTTAAGAGGCGACTTTTAAAACATTATCTTCAAGGATATTTTCAATCGCCTGATTTGATTCGTAATGATGGAACCACAGCTGAAGAAAGATCGACATGCTAGATTTATTTCCCTATTTTATTTGAGCCTGTTTCGCTTTATGTAAAACAGTCTACTGAAGCTGACTTGAAATACAGTTTTCAAATGACGTGCAATGCTGTGAGGTGACGGCAAAACAAATTACAAGTGCAAATGATGGAAGCGGAGGTTAACAGCCTTGAAATGCATATTTTAAAGTAACAGAGTATAATGTTGGACAGTTTGCGCGGACATCTCATGAAAGATGTTAGAAAAAAAAAAAAAAAGAAAAGAACAAAAGTATTCCTGTCATCATCTTGGAGGGCAACTAACAACATTTCTAAAGCGATTAGATGTATTAATGACTAAGTGGCTCCAAGCCTATCCCTGAAAGTTTAATGCGGAGTGCATTTATCAGGAGATCCTGGCTGCCCTAGATGCAATACTGCAAAGAATGTACTCACTCTGTATGTACACCAACGCCTAGGAACAATCAACCAGATGGGAAAGATATGCATTATGCAATAGATACCTGCACATTTTGAAATTAATGGGAACGAGGAAGCCGATGAGCTGGCTAAAAAAGCAACAAATCTCAACAACTCAATCCCCGTCATTCTTGAAGATGCTAATGCCATTGCCAGATACAGAATAAAAGAGACATATATTAAGACAGACCGTCAGATATGTGAGATTTGATGCAAACAGAGAAACCACAAAGACTATTACTAGATTGAGAACCCGCCATTTTAGACTAAAAATTACTGGAGATGGGTACCAGATTATATAGAACGTGTAGAAAATACTCAGAAACGGAGCTTTTTCCAAAACCACATGTTCACCTGTTCGGCAATAACTGCAGCTCTGCAAAGCTTGAAGGAATTTTCTTTTCAGGAAGAGCTGTAAGTGAAAAGATAGTAGAACTGGCAAAACCAATGATTTCCAAGCATGGATCCAATTGACGTCTCAAAAGACATGACAACAACCAACCAATCATCAGGATCGAACAGTTCTACTATTTAGAAGCTGAAAAATCCAGAGACCTTCTATTAAATTCATTTTCTCGCGGATTTTCAATGCATGGGATCTGACGTATGAAGCAATATTAGGGACCAGCTTCAAGGAAACTCGGTATGTAATCCGTTTGATGATTTTGAAGATAACTGCAAGTGGGAAGACAGACAAAACGGTAATAAACGGGATGGAAACGGTGACGGAAGTGATGATTTGCAAGAGGAAAGGGAAATTCAAGCAGCATTCTATGATTTGATGCTTAGGCAGTAACAGTGAACAATAATAAGAGTGGAAGAGATTCAAGAACTAGGAAAGTATGAATGAAAATAAATAATTAGGTATTCTATTATATAATATTAATATTATTAGTCCAAAGGGAATATTAGTCTATTAAACTGTTCTTAGTCTCGAAACGGGATTTTGCGCCGAATCACAATAAAAGGTTGTATAACTTAAAAATTGTTGCCACCAAATATTATCGTCGTGTATTATATTTAAGGAAATTAAATAATGAAGAATCGGCATGAATGTATGTATGTTTCTCGGAATGTGAAAAAAACGCAGATACCTAGAGCCATCACATTTTAAACAACATAGTTCTCCACCAGAATATGAGTACCTGGAAGCCCGAAATAGGAATTTCGAACTTGTTTTGTAGTCTATTGTATAGTTTGTAAACTTTTAACGAATTTTTGATTAACAAACTCAACTATTTCAAAGCGAGAAATGGCAACACGGTACAGACGAAAATATTTTTACCTCTATCGCGTGAGACTGTCTATCGGAAATTCCAAAGATATACTGTTTTTAAATATTTTAGTCCAAATGCTCTCGAAACGTATGTATGCCTGTAAATGAAAAAATATCCCCTTTGGGCATAATATAAAATCTGAAATCTTTCAGATTTTTTTGTTATGTATTCTTGTTGGTATGAAGGCTTTTTTTAAATAAATAATATTATGACAGTTACTGGTAGTTTACGCATTGCTAAATATCTTCTTACTCTAACAGCGCCTTTCGAAAATTAAATTATTCGCCCAGTGTTTCCAGATACATTTAGTAGATTTTTGCCCGATACAATTAGTACGAAAAAAAAAAGGGTAATACGAGAATAGAAGCACTTTAAGAGTTCTCATAAAGTTAAACTGTTAAAAGGTAAGGTAAAATAACACGCGTAACAAATATTAATTTAAAAGTCAAACAACAAAAATCAGCGTTATAATTGCAAATTTTCACAGGACCATTATCCTCAGCTTTCTTTTTTTCACATGATCTGTTCGCCATTTTGTGATTGTATTAGTTTCGGAGTCTCAAACAACAGCTAAGGATGATGGTTCGGTAAAACCATCGAAACTAGTACTGATAATACGTGTTTCTTTTGGACAAAAAAAAGGTGGGGACGAGAGAGAAAGAGCGTTTTAGAACTCGAAACGCTAAAAAAGGAAAACATAAACCCGGCAACACTTTAAAATGGAAATGTGTAACCGGAAAAATGAAAATCGATGAAATTAATGTCAGGAAGGCAAAAGTTATAAGTAAAGTTAGTTACCTTTCTTTCAAACGGCTATCGCCGTAACCTAAAATAAAACATAAAAAAAAAATAAAAGTTACTTAGTAAAACACGTACGTACGGTAGACAGTGAGAATGAAGTGAGTTTTAGTCTCTTTTCCATCAATGATGGCAGAACAGCTATACTTCCCTCTGTCTTCATAACGAACGTCTTCGAAGACTAGCTCTAACCCCAGAGGATTGTGCGGAGAGGCTTCCACGTGTACCCTGGGAATTAAAAAACAATTATTTTTCGCTGAAATTAGTACAACAGGTAAATTAATCTCAAATGCAGAATATACGTTACCAATCGCAAGATTACATAATGTTGTTTTTTACAGAACACTCAAATTTTATGCAAGATATCAAACTATAGAAAAAGGTAATTCCTATATTTTTTAAGCTTTTATTTTACGCATTTACTGTGTTTGTTGCTATGGTCAAAGGTTCAGTTCGTTATGGATTTTTGTAAGCTATCGAGTTCAAATTCTGTTCACAGACTGTTGATGACAATTTAGTGAGATAAAGCGATTTTTTTCCAAAATTCGATTTAGTGGTTTTTATTTCTTTGTACGAAGTAAAGGAAGTACTGTAATCGCAAAAAAATTCGGGAATAATATCTTAATGAAAATATCTATTTAACCGTTATTGAACCCATTTGACGATGTTTACGCGTGACATCTGTATGTATGGAGAGATTAAAGGGTAATTTATTTCCCCAAAAATGATTTTAAAATGGATTTAAATGCATTCAGAAAAGATTTTTTTCATGATGCCTGTACGTACGGATGTGTATCGCGTAACTTAAAAATTAAAAATGAGTGTTGAAATTCTGCGCGTGGAATTTGTGCACTTCCCATTTTCGTTGCAGTTGGCCGCATCAAACATACATCATACACACACACACATATATATATATATATATATACAGGGTGTACCGTAAACGTTGCGACAAACTTCTAGGAGAAGTAGGGCACATTATAAGGATTAAGAATTGCATAGGAACCTATACCAGGAAATGTCAGGAATAAGTGGTAGCAGAGGTAAATTATGGGGAAGGAAACAAGAGAGTGATTAATTTGAAACATTTATTGGACATGAATACAAATGGAGTTTCGACAGTTTAAATGTTACAACACATACTCGAAGTTTGCACCATCAGACGTCAAACATTCCTGACACCGACGGACCATTGATTGTCGAACATGCTCAAACACACCAGGAATTTCTTTGATTGTAGGAGCAGCGAAGGCGAGTTCTGCCAAGAGATCCATTTCAGACACAATCGTGATATGCGACACTTTTGATGGCTCCCCACAAAAGGAAATCAAGGCTCGATAAATCCAGTGAGCATGGGGGCCAGGGAACCGGTGCACCACGCCCCAATCCATCGATGCGGGAATGATCTGTTCAGATGGCTAAAACGTCCAGTTCAAAATGAATCAACTTCTTAATGACCTGTAGTCACATAAATTTTGACGCAGACGTGCGAATAAGCTGTGTTGTGGTTGATGTCTGTCGGGAATGCATTCTTGATAAATGCTTGCAGCGGCTCCATACACTAAGGACATGTCTGCAAGCTCTCCGTTCGTATAGCGTTCCATGCTCTTCGTACGCTGCCCACCGCTCGAATGAGGCAATACTCACTTTCCACTAACACTCTCCTGTAGGGCACTCCCTAGCGACGCACAGTGACGTTTCTGGACATGGCTTCCTATGCAATTCTTAATCCTTGTGATGTGCCCTACCTCACCTAGAAGTTTGTCGCAACATTTACGGTACACCCTGTATATATATACATATATATTGCCCTATATATATATATATATATATATATAACACTGAAGAGCCATTACATTATGACCATCCTGTTAATAACATGTAAGACCACCTTTAGCTCTCAAAACTGCCAGCATCCGGAGTGGCCTTGACTACGCAAGGTGCTGCTACGTAGTATCTGGTAGCAAGCGCTCACCAGCCGGTCCTGTAATTCTTGCACATTGCGAGAGAGTAGCGTGGCAGCATAAATTTGGTTTTTCAGGTGGGACCACAAATGCTCTATTGGATTAATGTCAGGTGAATTTGGAGGCTAAGACAGGACTTGAAAGTCACTGCAGTGTTTCTCGAACCATTCCCGGACGATTTAACCCTTATTACATGGTGCATTATCCTGTAGGTAAACACCATCCCCCGCCTGAAATACTGTTGTCATGAATGGGAGAACGTCATCTGCAACGATGTTCACCTAGCAAACAAACATCAGCAATTGTTCTACGAGGATTATGGGTCCTAATGTGTCCCATGAAAACATTTCCCACAGCATAACACCCCCGCCACTGGCTTCTCTCCGTTCAACTGTGCATCCAGGAGACAGGGCTTCGGTTGTAAATCGTCGTATTAGCACACGCCCGTCGATGTGATGAACCAGAAAACGTGATCGTTGGACCATGCAACTTTCATTCTTCCAAAGTCCAATTCCGATGTTTCTTGGCTCACTGCACACGCAGCTAGGGATGGCGTGCCGTCAATGAAGAGGCATGCTTCGGGCTCCGGCTGCGTAGGCCTATACGCAGAAATGTACGCTGCACAGTGTGTTGTGAAATACTCTCTGGTTCGTCACTGTTGTAGCTGGTGTTGATTTCTGCTATTTTAGCTCTTCTGTCACGGCGAACAATGGATAGCAACCTTCGCTATCTTCTGGAATAAATGCACGGTCGACCGACACACTGCTGGCCGGCGACTTGTCGTTTCACTATCTCTATATCACTTTCGATACGTGCTCACAAAAAATGCGCGTGAACACCCCACTAAACGCCCCGTTTCTAATGCATAGCCACTTTATATACTCTAACATGAGCGGCGCACCCAGAGTGGAATCATATTTATTGGAAAAGTGCAAATAATTTTGTTTCTGGCGACCTCATTGTTATAGATGGAGTTGATTATAATGTAATGGCTCATCGGGTCTATATATATATATATATACTATATATATATATAATAGATATATATATATATATATATATATATATATATATATATATACATATATATATACACATGTACACATACATATATATACATATATATGTATATGTATGTGTATATATATATATATATGTTGTGTGTGTTGTGTGTGTGTTATGATTTAAAAAAATGCGTAGATGAAGGCACTGGAACTTGAACAGCTTAACAATACTGCACAGATTGACCGAGAAGATCGTAGTGACTTGAAGGTGGCAGAGTGGAAAGAATAATGACGCTATTTAGCACAATGTATTCTTGAAAATTCACAATCTTTATTTTTTTTACGCATATCAAATCATTCTTTTTCAGACAAGATGTTTCGTAATTATATTTGAATACAGCAAGTTGCATTTTGAAGTACGACGTCGTTTTAAGCAAGTAAGCGGCAGCAGCCATACATTAAAAGCGTCTCGCCAGCAGAAGAGCTTAACGCGGAGGAGGGAAAGAGTTCACAGTACTTTCAGAGGAAGAAGGTGGGAGTGGGAAAGTTTCAGTTCACAGTTTTGGTTTACAATTAATTTGATTGGACAAGACGCATTTGCATTAAAACGTTACATAAGATAGAAAAACCCGGAACCTGTAAAAAGGGATGAATTTAGAGGCAGATCACCAAATTGAGAATGTTAATTTTGAGGTCGCCAATTAGGTTTTTCAAACAGCTATCACATTTTCTTATATCTTACATATGACTCCTTCAAAAGAATCTTCTATTCACAAATTATTATTGAATCATATTTATTGGAAAAAGTGTAAATATTTGTGAACTTATTAGTACACAAGATGAAAATAAGCTGGACTTACTCGCATCAAGAGACTTTAAAAAGTATTTCATTCCATTTCAACTATTTTTATGAAATTGCTGTTTAATGGATATTTTAAGAAAAATTGAGAACTTTTATGCTGTTAATTTATTTATTATTATTATTCCATATAAAATTTAGTTATATGTTTATTATAAATCATTTTAAAATTGTATAATTCAAAATCTTGACAATTATATGAGAAAAGATCATGATCTATGATAGGACATAGTTAAAGCTTGTAAGCTATGTTCTGGATGATTCTTCATATCTTTCCTCATACATCCTGCTTCACTAATCTACTAATGCTTTGTTCACCCGGTCTTTTGTTTTGAGGGGAGGATGTAAAATATTAAAAAAAATACGATAGCTGTGCTTTTCGAGAACGTGCAACCTTTAATTAACTTTCTGCAATTCAGGATCTTCCCCCTAGACCAGTACCTTCTAGAATTTGCTAGCCTATTACGTAACTGCTACTATAAATACTGAGAGCGCGCCATTTTTCAGTCAGATTGCTTCCTAATCTCGATGCTACAAGTCTCTGCGCTGCCCTGTCATCTTTCTTCCTTTGTTAGAATTGGGTATAACGCATAAAGTTTAAATCCAATCATACTTAGTTAAAACCACTATGGATATGTAATCTAAAGAGTGCTATCTGAAAGGAAAATGATCTGCTAATTGGAGTAAATGAAAATGGGCAATTAAAAGCTAAATCAATTTGTGTCGTCTTTTGGATATCCTCCTTACCACTCTGAGAAAAGCCATGCCTGAACTTTGACGCCGAGCTTCACGACTGCCAAAATATCACAGTACTCTCTTAATGGTTAATATATTTTTTTAGTAGGGCTTATGAGTAGAGATGGCCTAGATAGAAATAGACATATTTTGCAGGTTATACATGTGGGCTAACATGGGAATGTCACGTAGCTTCTATATATTTGAAAAACGAAAATATATAGTCCCTCTGTCCCGTAATATTAGTAGCAGTTGATGTAATTAATTTGTCTTGTAGGAATAATAGCAAACGTTAATAAGTTTAGAACACAACATTTATTACCATTAAACAACATTTACATTTATTACTAGATAAAATTTAAAATATTAATTCTACTTTTTATTTTGAGGTTTTTCAATAATTTCGTTACTGCATTTTTAAACTTGGAGGTAGTGTAAGCCTGGCGATGCTTTGCTTTCGCCTACATGCATGAGCTTAAAATTATTAGAGCCATCGGGAGAAATATTATCTTTACTACTTCTGCGGTTCCTTCTCTAACAAATATATGCAACCTTTTCAAGTTCCTTTCATAATCATGCATTTAAAAAAAGTCCACGGTTTCTTTTCAAAGAATCAAGTTTAGCATAAAATTCACCTTGACAATTCTTTTCGGAAGCACATTTCTA